GCCTCCCAAGTGCTGGGATTACAGGAATGCATTTCTTCTTTTGAGACTTTTTTTTTTCCTTCCTGATGCTGGGGATCAAGCCGAGGACCTTGTATATGCCAGGCAAGCTCTCTACCACTGAATTACAGTCCCAGCCCCACTATGGAGTTCTTAAACCCCCATATATATTCTCAATATTAACCTCTTGCAAATATTCTCTCTCATTCTATAGGGTGTCTGAGGAGAAGCTTTTTATTTTGATGCAATTCATTTGTCTATATTTGCTTTTGTTTTCTGTGTTTTGGGGGGTCATTTAAAAAATGTTTCCTATTTAAATGCCATGAAGCACTTCCTTATGTTTTCTTCTAGTAGTTTCATGCCTCACATTTAAGTATTTAATCCATTTTGAGTTGATTTTGTAACAAAAGATATTCTTATCACTCAGGAAATTCCAAGAGTTTTAGTCTCTATGCCAGGAACCTGGGACAAAGACCAACTATACCACGTGCAGAAAGGGAAATCTTTTACTATAAAGTGCTGGACTAATTAAACATCAGTACAGAAAAAAGAATTTGCAAAAATAAGAATCAAGATATAGTATATAAAGGTACATAGGGCTGGGGATTTAGCTTAGCGGTTAGGTGGCCTGCCTTGCAAGCGCAAGGACCCAAGTTCAATCCCCGGTACCAAAAAAAAAAAAAAAAAAAGGTACAAATCTCCAATGATGAGTGTCATTATATTGTATACCTAAAATGTAGCAATAAAATTAATTTCAAAAAAAGAAAAAACTTTTGGCCTTATTGAATATCATTCATGAAAAATATTTCCAACAAATGATATATTTAAATATGAATGTGAAAGCAAAGTTTTTTTGAAGGAAACAACATCTTCATAATCTTGTACCATGCAAAGAATTCTTAAATGGGGCCAAAAAATTGGGTTAACTATATAGGAGAAAATGAAAAACCGGGCTATATTAAGAGCGTCTGCTAGTTTGAAGAGAGTAAAATGGTAAACCTCAGAATATAAGATATTTTTTGAAAGATCTGGGTGCAGTGGCACACACCTGTGATCCCAGCACACTGGGAGGCTGAGGTAGGAGGTTGGCAAATTCAAACCCAGCCTCAGCACCTCAGCAAGACACTGTTTCAAAATTAAAATTTAAAGAGAGGACTAGTGTTACGGCTTCTACCTAGATGTCCCCCCAAAGCTTCATGTGGTCACAGGCAGGGAATTCTGGAGGTGTCTGGATGTAGGATGTGTGGTACTGAGATTGAGGCTGGGGTTGATTCATGGTGATATTAGGATTAAGGCTGTCCCACCCTTGGTTTGAGTGCTACCCACCCTAAGGGTAGAGAGTCTGGATAGGGTATAAGGGACAGAGAGAGGGTTGTTGCCTGCCTTCTGCCTTCCCCGCTTTGCCATGAACTGTTTTTCCTCTGCAATCCTCCTCCGCCATGCCACTTTGATTTAGAGCCAGCCAACTACAGACTGAAACCTCTACCGACTGTGAATCAAAATAAATCTTTCCTCCTATAACTTTGGGTGTTGGGTATTTTGTTTCTCAGCAACAAGAAAAAAATTTTTGGAATAACACAATATGTATTCATGGGGCCAAAATATATTTAAAACTCCTACAAATAATCAAATGACAGAAAACAATGTGAAGCTGAGCAAAAGATTTGAACAAGCACTTCGTACGAAATATTAAAACCATGATGAGCTATTTCACACAACCTCCAGAACTGACTAAAAATAAAGTCAGATACTACCCAGTATTAACAAAGCAAACAGAATTCTCCGTAACTGGTGGTGGTAGTGTAAACTGACTTATGGAAAAATGGTCTGTATCTAGTAAAACTAAAAATAAAGATAGTCTTTGGATCCAGCAATTCTTAAACAAAAAAATGTTCAATATTCACCCAAAAGATACAGGAATGTTCTTAAAAGTACCATTCATAATAACCTCTCTTTGGAAACTAGCCAAATGCCCATCATCAGTATAATAGAGAACTAAAATGGAATATTTACACAAACAGCATTTATCGTCAAAGAAAACTAACAAACATGCCACGAAACTGTCAGGGAGTGACCTCTGTCAACACCCTACCTCCACCCTCCATTCAGATGCTGGGGCTCAGATCTCGATGTGACTGTGTTTAGAGACACCTTTAATCCAAGGTAATTAAGCTTACAGAGGTCATAAGGGTGAGGCCCAAATCCAAGGGGACTCCTGTCCTAGAAGAGGAAGAGACACCAGAGATCTTTCTCTCCTCCTGCACACACAGAAGAAATACTAGGTGAGGACACAGCAAGCCAGGAAGAGAGGCCTCTCCAGAAACCAGTGCTGTGGGCCTGTGATAAAATAAAGTTCTCTTGCTTAAGCAACCCGCCTGTGATATGTTGTTATGGCAACCCTCACAGACTAATACAAATATGGGTGAATTTCACAAATCGTTTTGAGCTAAATGAACCAGAAAAAGTATGCTCTTAATTATTTTATTAGCTTCATATACTACTATTTTAAAAATAAAAGAAGACAATTCATTTGAAGATGGGGAAGGAGGAGGAAAAGAGAGATGACAAACAGCTACTCTGGATTTCATATACTATTTTAAAATGGACAAAATCAACCTCAATGTTAGAAGTCGTGAGAAGAAGCTGTGCATGGTTCTGGCTGACCTTGAACTCACTGTGTAGTCCAGGCCGGTCTCAAACTCATGGCAATTCTCCTGCCTCAGCCTCCCGTGTACTGGGATTACAGGCTTTTGCCACCACACCCAACTTAAAATAATTTTTTAATCGAGATGAAATTCACATACTTTTTTAAAGTGTACCATTTGGTGGGGTTTTCGTACATTTTGAAGGTTATGCAACCATCACCACTATTTAGTTGCAGAACATTTTCATCATACCAAAAAGAAACCACACATTTACTGGCAGACACTCTCCACCATCCGTACCCCCAATGCCTGGACATTACCAATCTAATTTCTATCCCTACGGATTTGCCTGTCCCATCCATTTCATGTAAGTAAAAATCAAACACCATGCATTGGCCTTTTGTATCTTTTGCATAGAACATTTTCAAGGTTCGTCCATGTTTTAGCATCAGTACTTCACTTACTGTTTGAATAACACTCCTTTGTACGTCTTAATGAGCATCTAGTGCCCCACCACCACACCACGTAATGTTAAAGACCCAAACCTTCATGTAACTATATTTTGAGATAAGCCTTTAAAAGAGGAATCTAAGGTTAAATGAATTTGTAAAGGTGGGGCCCTAATCCAACAGACCTGGTGTCCTTAACCAGAAACGGGAAAGGCACCAGTCCTGTATATGTGGAAAAAAAACCAAGAAGGATACCTTGAGAAGGCAGTCGATCACCTGTGAGCCTAGGAGAGAGGCATCAGGAGAAACCAATCCTATTACCACCTTGATCTTGGACTTAAACTTCTAGCCTTAAGAACTGTGACAGCATTTCTGTTGTTTAAGCCACCTACTCTGTAGCATTCTGTTACGGGAGGCCAACTGGATTAACAGTGCGTAGCTGTGTCACATTTTGTTTTTCTGCTCATCAGTTAGTGACATTTGGGTCGCTTCCACTTTTGGCTATGATGAATATGTTGCCATGTACATTCACATACATGTGCTTCTGTGGACATCTGCTTTTTTGTTTGGTTTGGTACTAAAGATTGAACCCAGTGTCTACACACTGAGCTACATCCTCAGCCCTTTCGAATTTTTTATTTTATGACAGGGTCTTCCTAAATGGTTAAGTTGCTCAGCTGAGACTGAAACTTTCTCTTCTTGCTTCAGACTCCCACACTGCTGGAATTAGAGGACGCACCAGCAAACCAAGCTATTTATTGTTTTCTCTCATTGAGTTTATTGGTACATTTTAGGTATACAGCATAGTTACATTCATTATTGGGATCTTGTACCTTTACATGGCAGGACTTGGTTCTCATTTTTACCCCTTGTCCCTGCCCTCCCCTCACCCTGAGCTATCTATTTTAATTTGTCTTGGATATATCTAGAAATGCAAGGTTGGATCATAGGGAAACTTGTTTTAGCAATTTTGGGGTAATGGGAAGTACTGAAGATTAAATCCAGGGCTTTGCACATACTAGGCAAATTTTCTAGCACTGAGCATATCCCCAGTTCTTTTTCAATTTTTATTTTGAGCTGGGCGTGGTGGTGCATGCCTTTAATCCCAGCACTCTGGAGGCTGAGGCAGGAGGATCGCTGTGAGTTGAGACTAGCCTGGGCCACATAGTGAGTTCCAGGTCAGTCTCAACTACATAGTGAGACCCTGTCTCAAAAAACCAAACAAAAACAAACAACAACAACAACAAAACCCCAACGAAATATAGAAGTCAAATAGTATAATAATTATTTTTAAAATTAAGCTTGCCGGGCCAGGGATTTAGCTCAGTGGTGTTGCCACATGCCTTGCAAGCACAAGGACCCGAGTTCCATCCCCAGTACCCCCCAAAAAAGAAAGAAATTAAGCTTACAATTTAAATCTCCCAAAAAGAAAACTCTAGTTCCATAGGATTTTGCTAGCAAATTTAATAAGTACCAAAGAAAGAAAAAAATGCCATGATTATACAAACTGTCCCAGAAAATAGCAAAAGGAGAAACATACTCCAACTCATTTATGAGGCCAGCACAACTGGATTTTTAAAACCTAACAAGCACATTAGAAAGATGGGAAAAATTGTCAACCTCATTAATTGACAGATGCAAAGACTTCCACAAAGCAGTAAAGCAAATTTGACAAATACAAAAGATGTTAACTTTCCATCTCTGCAATAAATCGCTGCGATGATCAACACATTAAAAGACTCAAAAAACGTAAAAACTAAACATTTAAAAAGAGAGAAAAATCTCATTTTGGCTCACAGTGTGGAGTTTCAGTCCATGGTCAGTCCACCCTTCACTTTACTTTTGGGCCTGTGGGAGGCAGCACAACATGGAGACAACTGTGGCAAAAATTAAATAAATAAAAATTCACCTCACGAGCCAGATGTGGAGCAAAGAGGAAGAGCTTTCAGGGCATGATCCCGTGGATCCAGCTGTGGTGGTCATACATCATGACAGGAGTCCATGGTGGAGCAAAGCCTCACGAACGTCTCTTCGTCAGAAAGGAAAGAAAAATGAAGCTGAAGGAGAGCCCACCATCCCTTCCGGGTCACGCCCCAGGGACCGGAAGAACTCCGACTAGACTCCACCTTTTAAAGTGCTCACGCCTCCACCCCACACAGTGTTAACGCCAGCATTTCGGAAGTCTAAAGTAAGAGGAATGCTAAATTTGAGTTCTGCATGGGCAACGTATCAAGGCCCTGTTTTAAAACTAAAAAGTAAAAATAAAAAGCTCTCGAGAGGTAGCGCAGTGGTACAATGCTCCTGGATTCAGTCCCCAGTACCAGGAGGAAAAAAAAAAATCTTCCACTCCCCCACATTTACCCCCAACCCAACAACCAGCTAACAGCCAGGCTAGTGACTATACCTCCAACACATGGACGTTTGGGGAAACATTTAAGATCCAAATTACAGTACCAGTAGATAATAATAGATGCTGAAAATATGTATTATTCCAGGAATAAAAATGTATTTTTTTTCAGTAGACAAAAAACAAACTATAATGTGATAATAATATAGATAGTATAATTGGGACTGTGGGACCACTACCTTTCTTTTACCTGAATCTGGCCAACATCCCAGGGCTGACCCTCTGACCTTTGTCCTAAGGCCTACTACCCAGAGTCAGAAAGAAGAAGGAAAAGACCCTGGAAAATTCTGAAATCAAACCTGGATGCATTCGTGGTAGCTTCTCCGGCATGACCTGAAGTAACCTTTCCTCACTTGGCGCTCACAAAGGGCTCATGCATGTGGACGGCACCTTTATATCCAATAATAACAGAGTGAATCATGGGAGAGGACATGCGCAGTAGACACAGCTGACCTGATTCAGCACCCTGTCGATCACGTTTTCAGTCATGCTCTGGGAGATACAAAGAGAGATGCCCTAGACCCACTTATTTTAAATTCTTAAATCCACCGTGGTCAGCGCTCCTGGCATTTCCCTTTCCGCTGGCACAAGCCTACTCTCTGAGCATACCATCGCCGAAATTTCACTCATCTTTGCTGCTTTTTCCTTACCATCAGGTACCACGTCCAATTCTTTGTTCATCGCACACAAGAACCTAGAAACCTGTCAAGAACCTCATCACCCACGGCAACAATAAGCCAAAATGGGGGTGCTTCTGGTGAAGAACGAAGAAGTCACAATTAGGAAGGGTGGTATGAAAAAAGCTTCTAGGGTAATATTTGTGTTCTATTTCTGTACCTGGGGAGAGGTTACTTGAATATTTATGAAAATTCACTGAACTATACATTTATGTTTTCTAAGTTTTTTGTTTTGTTTTTTACTTTTTTCCATTAAGGCAAAGTCTTGCTATGTATTCAGGCTGACCTTAAACTCACTATGTAGCCCAGGTTGGTCCCAAACTCACAGCAATCCTCCTGCCTCAGCCTCCCAAGCACTGGAAGTACAGCCACACTATATGTATGATTCACTTGGCAATAAAAAAAAAAAATTAAGGAAAGAACCTACAGGGTGCATGTGGCAGCGCATGCCTGAAATCCCAGCACTCTGAGAGGCTGAGTCAGGAGGATCACCAACTTTGAGGCCAGCCTAGGCAACTTAGTGACTTAGGGAGTCCCTGTCTTAAATTTAAGAATAAAAAAGGGTCTGAAGATATAACTCAGTGCAAAGGCCCTGGGTTCAATCCCCAATACTAGGAAAAAGCAAAACAAATTTACAAGGCACAAATGAAGCTGTATTCTGAGGACATTTCATTGTCTTAATGCTCTCAATACTAAAAAAGGAAAAAAATGAATTAAACATTCAAACAAAGTTAAAACAAGAATAAAATAAAACCAAAGAAATCACAATGAAGTGGTTCTTCCCAGATTTGAATGTCATGTTTTCTTTGTAAAATGGTCCTTTCCTGAGATAGATCTTTTGCAGTGAGGAAGGGGAAACAGGAAATGGGGGAAGGAAAAAGGGAAGGGGTGAACAAAAACTTGCCATGGGTCCTGTACAGGTACCAACTCCCCATGAGGAATGTAATCAGAACATGCACCCCCCAAAATAAAAATTTAACCACAAAAAAGGCCCCTTCCCGTCCTCTACACTACCTACCACACCCTAGATTGAACCTAGGGACGCTGTACAACTGAGCTACATCCCCAGCCCTTTTCATTTTTGTTTTTTAACTTTGAGACAGGGATTTAATCAGTGGCCCAGGAAGGACTCCTTTTGTGACCCCGGCAAGGCCCTTCTTCCTCTGCCTCACCAGGAACAACCCACATGAGCATCGAGCCTAAGACCATTCCCTGTTTCATCCAGGAAACCCCGAGACTGTACCCCTCGGGTCTCGCAGCCCGGTGTATCTCAGTGCTAGCCCCAGACCCAAGCTTCTCAGGCCAGCTCTCTTCAACTGGCTCCTTGCATCTCGCCCTGCTACGGATCTGATCCTTGAAAATGCCCCAGGTCCTAACGCAGCCTTTTCTCCAAGGTTTCATTTTCAATTCCTGCTTTTATTAAAACTGTTCTGGGCCTGGCGTGGTGGCGCACGTCTGTAATCCATCCCAGCACTCAGGAGGCTGAGGCAGGAGGATCGCTTTGAGTTCAAGACCAGCCTGAGCTACATAGTGAGCTCCAGGTCAGTCTCAACTACAGAGTGAGACCCTGTCTCAAAAAAAACCCCAAATAAATAAATAAATAAAATAAAATCAGCTTCCAGGCAAGTGCACATACCTGTGATCCTCTGGAGTCTGAGGCAGGAGGACCATCAATTCCAGGCCAGCCTGGGCAACTTAGCAGCCCCCTGTCTAAAAATTTTAAAATAAATAAACAAAAAGGGCTGGGGCTGCAGCAAAGGGCTCAGCGCTCCCTGGGTTCAATTCCCAGCACCCTGCTCTTCGCCATCCCTTCCAAACTCTCCACCTCACTGACGCTGGTATCCTGGCAATCCTCCCATCCCTGTGAGACTGCAACCTTCACTGTGCTCTGCTCTTTCTTCTTTACCTTTTTTTTTTCTTTTTTTCAGTCCTGGGGATCTAATCCAAGGCGTACACCCATGCATTCCTATAACACCTCTTACCTCTCTCTTCTTCATGATTTTGTCCTAAAAACTTGAAGAAGCTCAGTACTTGGCAGGCTGAGGCAGGAGGATCACCAGGAGTTCGAGGCCAGCCTGGGGTCCGTAGGGAAACCCTCAAAAATAATAAATAAATAAATAAATAAATAAATAAATAAATAAATAAATGTAACAGTATTAGTTCCCTCTGGGCAGTTGGATTGCAGAGGATTTAAAGGGCGTTTTAAATATACTTTTCTGAATTGTTTGAATCTTTTAAAATAGTGTCTGTTTTCTTCGTCTTCTATGCCACCCTAATCCAATGTATCAATATCTCTTCTCTGCATCACACCTGAAATAAAATTCAAAACCATCCCGCAATCTCTGCTGGAATTATTTTTTTCAAGTGCTGAGGATGGAACCCAGCACAGCAGGCAGGCAGGCGCTCTATCACCCAGCTGCGTCAAAGCTATTCATTCTCGCCTGGAAAGTCGCAGGAGTTTCTTCATTGGGCCCCTTCCTCTCCACGGGGCAGCCAGCAGGATGTTTGTATGACACCAATCTAGCGGTGCTACCTGATCGCTTCAAATCCTTCAGTGGCTCAGCATGGTGACACACTCTTATAATCCCAGCACTCTGGAAGGCTGAGGCAGGAGGATCACAAACTTGAGTCCAGCCTGGTCAACTTAGCAATTTAAAGAAACCCTACCTCAAATTTTTAAAAATATATTAAAAGAGCTGGAGCTACAGCTGAATGCGAAGATCCTGGGTTCAATCACCGGTATCGATAAATAATATATAAATAAAAAATAATTCAGTGGCTTCTCTTTGTGCTTGAATGAAACCTAAATCCCATTTCCTCACCTGTAACCTAAGTGTGGAAGAGTCGGCTACCACGCTGTGCAGTCCTCCCGCCTCAGCCTCCCGCGGACTGGAATTCAGGCATGCGTCACATATCCAGCTAACAACCTATCCCCTTGACACCTGTCTGTGGAGTCTGTTTCCTGTCTCTCTCATGGGTTATGTGCTCTCTACTCTTTTTATTTGTTTCTTCATTCACCTAGTGCTGTCTGTCCCTGCCATACAAAAGCATCATATGTATTTGTCTCATTTATTTTCTCGTCACTGGGACACAATTCCCGACACCCACAATTCTAAGAAGGAGAGGTTTACTTTAGCTCGCAGTGTGTAGAGGTTTCAGTCCATAGTCTTCTGGCTCCAAGGCGGGTGGCATGGCAGAGAAGAAAGATTTCAGGGCTTGGAAGCAAAGCTATTGCAGAGGAGGCAAATGACTCAGCTTTCAGGCCACGCCCCAGTGACCACGCCTCCACCAGGCTCCACCTCCCGACATCTCATTGGCTGTAAACCCATCAGTGGGCCAATCCACTGACCAGGATCACAGCTGCATGACCCAATCACCTCCCCAAAGTCCCACCTATGATCTCATGGCTTTTGGGGTCCCATCCAGACATAGACCACAGCAGTATTCACTCAAGGACCCTTAACATGAAGCCCTCCCTAGTCCGCCCAGCTGGAAGTCCTCAATAGGACTCCTGAATTCTCACAGTTCTTTGTCTTCGCTCCATTAGGAGTATTCAGTATTTTGAGTTGGAATTACATGAGGAAAGAGGATTGTGTGCTGGTTAGAACCAGACCCTATATTCAAATTCCAGTCCAGCCAGGCATGGTGGTGCATGCCTTTCATTCCAGTACTCGGGAGACCGTGGCAGGAGGATTCCCATAAGTTAGAGGCCAGCCTGGGCTGCATAGCGAGATCCTGTCTCAAACAACAAAAGAAAACGTTCAAGGGTAAGATTACCCATACGATCCAGCCTTTGATGACTCCACAATGCTTACCTTGTGACACACAGTAGGGGCTGAACAGGCGATAAAATATTAAGAGCTGAGTTTTATTCTGGGTTTATAAGTACCAGAAACTAAACTGCTCTGAACGCCTACCCTGCATCAGCTCATTTAATTCTCACAGCGAGTACAATTATTATCTTTACATGTGAACAAATACTGTATAAGTCATAGGAATTCCAGATTTCACCCTGGGTCCCTAGGTATAGTAAGTGGTGTAGCTGGAGTTTGAACATAGGCTATAGGCAACTAAGTCTTAAGAAGCACAGGATGCACCACGGGGATTTAGCTCAGTGGTTCCACCGCCTGCCTCTCAAGGACAAGGACCCGAGTTCGAGTCTCGGTACCAAAAACAAACCAAAAACAAAAACAAACAAAACACGGTGCTAGCAAATGTAAACCCGCTGCACCTGCCTCCCAAGCGCGTGAGATCCTGAGTTCCATCCCCAGTACCCACAACAAAACAAAAATGTAAATCAACCATTTGATTCAGGCTTACAAGGTCAGAATGAAAGAGACAACAATCTATATATTGATCAATATGGGGCTGGTTAAATAAACTGTGATAGTATCTTAGCTATTAAAATGATGATATGGGCCTATATTTATATTTCAAGCCATCCATAACATACTTAAAAAATAAGCTGCAAACACGCACACAACGTTTTTAGTAGTTTTATTCATAACTGTCAAAACCTGGAGATGTTATGGAAAGTAATGGAGCCGGGCGTGGTGGCACTGGCCTGTAATCCCAAAACTCGGAGGCTGAGGTAGGAGGATCACGAGTTCAAGGCTATCCTGGGCCACATAGTGAGTTTAAGGCCAGCCTCAGCTACATGGCAACTCTGTCCAAAAAAATTTCTTTTTCATTTAAAGACAAACAGTACGTATAAGAGCATGATCTCATTCAGGTGAAAGTGTGGTTTTATGTGAGTAAAAAGTGTGGGAAGAGGGAGAAAGGGACAAGAAAAAAAAGTGGAAATGGAAAAAAATGAAACAAAGCTATTGCAGAAAGAAGGGAAGGGACTTGAGGGGAATGGGATAAAATAAAATAAAATTTATTTTTTAAAAAAGTGCGGGAAGACACAACCAAATTAACAGCAGTTGTCCTGGGGTGTGAGATGGCTGGAACTCTTTCTCCTAGGCCTCCTCTTTAGTCTCTTGCCGCGTGCACTGACTGCAAGCTGAAGAGTGGGCGCGCCAGCGCGGGGCGGGTCGGGAAGGAGCCGCAGCATCCAGGGTGCAAACCCGAACGCCTCCGCCCAGGACGTCACGCGCTCCGGGCCTCTGCTCCCCAGGCTGAGACCCTGGCTCCAAAAAACAGCAAAACAGCGCTGAAGATTTAGCTCAGTGGTTCTGCTGCCTGCCTGGCAAGCACAAGGTCTTAATCCCCGGTACCAAAAAACAACAACAAAACAAAAGTTTAGGTCGTATGGAAATTAAAAAAAAAAAATACATTTTCAAAAACTTAAATGACTCTAGGAAAAAATTTTAAAAGGATACCCACGTCCCAAATTGGAAGCAAAAGTGTTATACTCAGTTCGCATAGCAAAAGAAAGAAAAAATAGGAAATAGCAAATAATTAGAATCATATATGTCAAGAATCACAAGCAAGGGCCTGGGATTTAGCCCAGTGGTGCTGCCGCCTGCCTCGCGTAAAGTTCCCCAGTTCGATCCCCGGTCATAAAAAAA